GAGTGTTGCGCATGTACGCCACGTGTTTGTCGTACTGCACACATTTGAGGAACCTCTTGGTGAGATCCTCGAGTTTCGCAATCGATACCGATTCTTTCTTTCTCCCTTAACTCGTTTCGTTTCGGCGTGTTTCCATTTTATTGTGCGTATCAATTACCTCCTGGCATCGGTGTGTCGCGATTTGCTTTCAATGGCAGAATGCGAGAGGACCGAATTGAAAAGAAAATTCAAATTCGTTATACATGTATGTCGGTGCGCACAAGCTCGATGATGTTACATCAACATCACCGTGATGATCGCGAAATTGAATCAAATTTAAATTAAAAGCAGCCTAAAATTTTTTGCTCAAGATTAAATTATCGATTAAATCGAAAGAAATTCTTCAAATTTTATTATGAATTAACTGTATAAAAAGCATTCTACTACGTTCTTCATATGTACTGATATTCTTTGCGATCGCATCAATGTTAGCGTGTGTGAATTGAAAGTTTCAAATATGATATTACAAAACTTTTTTTAATGTAACATTAGTCATTAAAAAATCATAAGATTAATATGTTATGTATTTATGTTATATATTATATTTTATGTTAAATATTATGTATTTTAATTAGAATATTCTTGGGATAAATGTAAGTATTATATTAAGAATGATAATAATTATTACAACCATATCTAAAGTTTATATTAAATATTACATATAAGATATTAATACAACTTCTTTGCGTTTACAGCAAAATTCGCATTTAACGTTGTTGGACTATTATTATCTGTGATACAATTTCGAAACTATCGGTATACCCAACGGATTTAAACGCGTTTTATTTTTTTATATTTCTCTCTCTGTTATTCGTTCATTAATTCGTTCATTGACACGCACGTCGAAAATAAGCTTGTATTCATTGAAAGTGAATTTGATCGTGATACGCTCGATTATTTAGCTTATTGCGTAACAGATTTAATTATAAGCGAATAATGAGCTCGCTTTATTTGGGCATTTATTACGTTGGACTTTGATGCACTCGCAAATGTTATCAGTACAAATGTATCAGTACGTTATTTTTTTGTCAGTAGCAAAAATACTACGATAGCTTCTTCTGCAATGTCAAGTAATTCTTTTCGATATGATAACGTTTACGAAGAGATATTTGTTGCCAGTTTTTATTCCTTTCCAAAATCACGAGTGTCGTTCTTAAAGCCCGTCGCGACACGTATGTCACGATGCAAGAGGAATTTTAGAAATCGTTATCGAAAATTTCAAATATCGTTGAATCGTTTGCGCGAGTTTTAAGGGTGAAGACTCGAAAGATTGATCTTCGAACGGCGTCTTATTCATAAGAGGGACGCAACGCAAGGAAGAAATTTTTCTCCCCGTAAAACAGGATTGAAATTAGTGATAGAGTTAAACGGCCGTTCGAAAATCAGATTTCGTGAGGAAAGAGCTGTCATTGTCTGCCAGTGACATGGACATTCGATCGGCTTGATCGGAACAATCTTTTTTATCGTTGAATATATTCATATAAAGTATAAAAGTAATTATAAATATATATACATATATGTATAAATTTACGTATATATAACATATTAATTTATGTTGTATAAATAAATTTATATGCATATGTATACACACACACACGCGCGCGCGCGCGCGCGCGCGTGTGTGTGTGTGTGTAACACAATGGCTCCTATACCTTCTCTACAGCTTCGTTGAAAAGCAAAAAAAAGAACAGTTTGCAAGATACGGTTTAACTGCTAAAGAAAGTCGCTGATAGAGTAATGTAAGAGCGTTGAGGGTGGTAGAATACATGGATGCATGCGAGAAAGATGAAGAGAGGTAACTGATCTTCGAGGATTGCGAGCGAGAGCGTGGCTGTGCGAATCGTGCGTCGCGATCACGAGAGCGACGAAAAGTTTATACCGTTTAAGATTAATCCGATCTGTACACGTCGTGGCAAATGGCGACTGAGAGTGGCGCCGAGATTAATCAATCGACCGCCTCTGGAAGTAGTTACGGGTCATGGTTCGGCAGTAAAGGGGAATTAA